AGAAGTTTCCTCAAGGAGAAAACAAGGAGCATTATTGTGCTTCTGCAGCCAGCCTCTAGTGGGCACTCGAGGAACTGCAGGATTTTACACTTCAGCATCGGCTTTATTTTTCAACACCGGCGGTTGCTGCTTGAACACACCTGATCGTATCGCATCGTATCTTTCTACTTCGTCTGTGAAATGAAGGACGTCTCCTCCATGCTGGTTTGAAAGTTTGAAAGATTATCGTTGATTTGGGAAACAGAAAAAAACTTTCATAGAGGCTCTTCAAGGGGAACGGATTGTATTCATGAGGCCTCATCATGAAGAACTGAAAGTCGAGGAGCTTAACTATTCAGCTTGCCTTGATGTTTCTTCCTCTTGCTTTCTTCTTCGCTCAGCAGCAGCAAAATGTGAATGAAGTCGGTGATCCGTAAGCGTCTCAGCGGGGAAGAGAGCAGCATGATGCTCTGACAGCCGGTTTCCTGCTCTGATGAGATTATTCTGCTGCTCACTTGTTTAACGGCAGGCAAGCATAAAGACAACAAAGGGGGATGGGGGGGTTAGTGGTAGCCTAGTGGTTAGTGTGCGCGCCCCATGTACAGAGGCAATACTTCTCCAAGCCGGCGACCAGGGTTTGAATCCGTCACGTGGCCTGCATGTCCTCTCTCTTTCTCTCTCTCTCTCTCTCTCTCTCTCTCACAAAGATTCACACTATCGCCTTTAAAGGATGCATTAAGGAATCAGATCTCTGATCAGATATTTTAATCCCAGCTCTGAAAGTGACTTTGCCCTCAACCCGTGGCTGTTATGAAAACCTGAGTCATGGCTGCATAGTCACGTACTGTGTCTAACCTACCGCAGTAGATATTAGTTTTATTTTACTGCCTTCTGTCTGAGGTCAAAGTCTCAGTTAAATGAGCTTCTAATGGCTCCGTCTTCTGTGTCGTTTTTCTTCGTCTTGGCTTCTCGTCCGGGCTGACTGAATGTCTGGGAGAAACGTCATGGAAAAGTCAAACACAGAAGAGGATCTGAACTTCTTCCAGGTCTCTCCTCCTCTGCCACAGCTGTGTTTATCATGAGCTGTGTTTAATCTCGCCGTCAGAGAATCAAAATGTCCCGAAGAGACGGCCAAAAGAAATGGAAGGACTCAGCGGCTCAGTGACTGACAGAATGGCGTGATAGAGGAGAGCGCACTTCCTCCAGACATCTGTTTCGAGGCATGAGGACGGATCAGACGGAGGCTCGTGTGTTGTTGTTGTTGAGTGCTCGTATTCTTTGCTGTCATCTCGAGGGAAGCGAGGGGAGCCGAAAGCCGCACGTTGTTGGAGACAGAGACAGATGCAGCACCTGAGTTTAGTGAAGTGAAGAAAACCATAACCTGACACCCTCGAGCTGCCAAACTGTTTTACCTAGAACTTTTATATAATATGTGCAAATCTAATATTGAACAAACCTCAGAGCAGAGAGTGCCTCAGACCCCCTCCCCCTAAGATCTCAAGCACCTCACCTGAGAGGGGGGCCCGGAACGCAGGTTGGAAACCAATGGTTTAATCCATTAGTAAGAGCATGATGAGGTCTGTTTGGTGTCCAGTGTGAGTTTTAGAAGACTGCTTGTGCTTAATAAGATGATGTCATGTTTTTTTATACTATTGCTTTCTAAATCCTCCTAAAACAGTCTGGATGCATCAACGGAAAAACTTCAATATTTGCTTCAGGTCAAGGGTCATACTTGTGTAACACATGCACACCAATTCACATTTTTTGCCGCCTTGGCGATTACAGTAACAAGCTACAAACGACACTGACAAACTGTAGCCATATAGTTGATCTTTCTTTTAACACTTGAAGCAGACTTATTTTGGCCACTTAAGTCCTTTTTCTCGTTGCTCTTTTTTGGTCAAAACAAAATCCCCTGAGAAATGTCAGTCTCTTTGCTTCCTGAATGTTGGGCTATGTTCACCAGCTACTTGCTAAAAGCACATCTTGCTGCTGCAGTCGTGAAGTTAAACTGAACTAACTGGAAAATCCGGTGTATGAGACACACGTTTTAATATCGCTTTCTTAATCTAGAAAGTTGGCAGTGTGCTATTGACCGATGTGACCAATAAAATGAAATGCTGACAAACAGCTGTCATTACAGAGAGTGCAGCTGTCGCCATCACACACTGCACGCCGCCTGACAGTGAGAATGAGACGAGACGAGGCCCGTGTTTTTGCCAGCAGCTTGTCTGGACTTGTCCGACAATAAGCTGTTTGTCAAAGCAGCGCCACATCTTTCATCCTCCTCTCACTCTCACTAATCAAACACTCACTTCTCGCCCACTGATGCCCTCATTTAAGGACGCGTTCCCAGCAACGCTACGATGACTCAGCTGCTCGCCGCTGGTCATGCAGACCTGCAGACCTCCTCTGACTTTGGCCATGTTTCTGGGAGTGGCGCTCCAAACTCAAAACCACAAAGAATAAAAGCAGGATCATTTTTTCCACCTGCGCACGCTCGGCTCTGCAGCTTGATAAATAAGAAGGAGGTGGTGTTAATGTGAAACTAGAAAGAATGTGAAGCACGGCCTGTTTCACAATCCTGACCGCTGTGCGGCCCATTAGACCAAACATTTCCTGTTTCAGTCATTTAGAGAAGTCTCTGGGACCGGTTTGAGGATCTTGGTTGAATCGTTGACTCTGTTTGAGTTCCCCTGCTGCGTCTGTCTGACGCTGACTGGCAAGCATCCTCTGATCGTTTTTATCCCTCATCTCAAGTTTGACCGAGTGTTGGACAGACGGTGCAGCCACTCCTCGACAGACGGCGCTGATTTCATCTGTCGCTGACCTAGTTTCTCCTCGGCCTTCCCTCATGTGTTAGATCATAACTCTGTCATTTTTCACTCTGTTTCCATTTAAACGGCGAAGAAAAGGATGTTGACTGGCACTTAATGAGAAAACATGTTTTGTATTTTCCAAGATATTCAGGATTTTCCTTTAAACACGTCTGGAGCCCATCAAACCTCTGAAGTCGAGACAGATGACAGAGGAAAGTATTGTTGATTTTCTTGGTCACTAAAGTAGACGATAATCTCATAAGTGATCTGATAAATCAAATGTCAGCAGGCTGTAAACACCCTTTCACGTCCCTAAAGTTTGGGACGATGTCCAATCGACCGTCTAAAAACCAGAAACACGCGATTTTCTTGTCTTTCCCAAACTCAGAATGATGTCTGTTGAATCAAAACTTTAAAGTTCAGCACCAAACCAAACTCCTATATCAGCCTACACGAGCCTCATGTTTTAACCAATGACTGTATTAAACATGGTGATGAGGCCCAATGGATGGTGGTGGCCATATTGGAAATGATAGCTACGCCTAAAGAGGCGGACCTTAAACCTCCTGCTGTCAGTCAACTCAGCCTCTACTCATGCTCCTTTATGAAGAACTCTCAGGCTTGATTTAATCCAAACAACTGCATCAATAAAGGATTCATCCCGGACATGTCTTCACCTCGGTCTGTGTGGTCTAAGACACCAGTCCAGACACTGAACTGTCACATGCCGCCATATTTGCTTCGCTCCCAGTCAACTAAAAGTGAAACTGGTATCTTCATGGATTCTCTGTACGTCAAAGTATTTGCTGCTTTACCTTCATTACATCAACAGGATCTGTTTCCTGATGTTCAGTTTGTATTCGTACAGAAACTGTCTCACAACACTGCGTGTATTTCCCACGTGTTGTCATGACTCCAGGCTCCCTAATGAAGCCTCATGCGGTTTTTTACAGCAGCTCAGCTCCAGTGTGGAGTTCTGTTAGAGCAGTTTGAAGCTTCAGGATGATCAGCCGGCTTGCAGCAGCTGTTCCACACGTCAACGTTTCTCTTTTTTTTCTTGCATGTTTCTTCACCATAAAATCTCAGATTTGAGCCGCCTGCAGCCTGCCTCCCCTCTGTCCTCTCCTTCTCATCCTTCTGAGATAGCAGCTTAGTGAATGCTCTTTGTGGAGGATCAGCTAAGACAGCTAGTGAAATAATAATAATATAAATAATAACGCGTCCGTGCTTACAGCTGCTGTCCTCCCTCCGTCAAGGATTCTTTTTGTGTCCGAGATGACCGAGACGAATCGGAGCATCAACATGACCCCGTCAGGCGCTGCTTTTCTGCCTCAGGGTTCCTCCTGTTGGATTTCTCGTCAGTGAAGATAACGGGATGTAATGTGCAGAGCTGGTGGTACATGTGGAAGAGATCAGCAGCTGCTGCAGCTGTTTGACCTGAACGTCTTCTCTCAGGAGCAGATGTGTGTGTGTGCGTGTGTCTGCGTGTGTGTGTGTCCACCCCCTGTCACGCAGGAGCCATGAGATATGTGTCCATTCATACTAAAACTGAGACATTCAAAGGATAAAAAGAGTGACAGCAGATCACATTTTGGTTACTAACTATGAGGCCAAATGTAACTGAAGACACCTGAAATGCTGTGCTTTAAGCCGGCTACAGCCTGGACTGTTACTCCATTTTGGACGACTCTGTGACTTATTTGTGGAAAGCTCTCAAAGGTCCATGATATATAAAAGAGAGTCTCAACTTCAACATGTCTACAAGTTCAGGTTTTATTAAAACATTAAAGGAGCGGTATGTAACTCTGACCCCTAGTGTTTAAAATGGGTACTGCAGTGTAAATTGTAAACATTGTAGAGAGCTGTCTCCCCCAGCCCCCTCCTCTCGAGAGTCCATGCTCACACAGGTTGCCATGTGATGGACACTGAAGCTTCTACAGGTGTCGTCACTTTTTCACCTTCAAAACAATGAAATAGGGTCACTAATTTGAAAAAAAAAACAACACACATTTATTTCTGTTTTAATCACAGCTTTACATTTTCTAACCTTTTGATTTCTGTCTGATGGTCTAAAACAAACATTGAGAAGAGATATCTTAAATAAATACTGGGTAGAGGGATATGTGACAAACGCCCTCAGGGCAGTCAGACCTCGTTGTAAAGACACTTGCTGACTTCCTCGTTCTCTCTTTTCTTGCTCAGGTCACGGAGAGTGTCACTGCGGGGAGTGTAAATGCCACGCTGGGTTCGTCGGAGACAACTGTAACTGCTCCACGGAGACGTCCACGTGTGTCTCAGACGACGGGCAGATGTGCAGCGGGAGAGGAAACTGTGTGTGTGGACGCTGTCAGTGCATAGAGCCCGGAGCCTTCGGAGATACCTGCGAGAAATGCCCCACCTGCCCCGACGCCTGCGGCACCAAAAGGTAACTGTGACGAGTGACGAGTTTGTGAATCTCAGTAGAGGAAGCTGTTTTTATTTCATGAAGAGGAAGGTGGAACATTGAAACAAGGTGCAGCCCCTTGTTCTCAGGAATCAGAAAGGTCAAACCATCAAACACAGAAGGTCCACACTGAGAGTAAAACCTCCAGATAAGTCTCCCTCTGGTGGACTTAACTGAGTCTTGATGGCGAGTGCTTCAGATAGCCCTCGTGCCATTCCTGACCTGGGGAGATTAAACAGTTTGAACCTTCATCAGTCAGACGGGCAGCTCGGGCATAAATGTCCATCAGACGTGTAGTAAAGAGAAGAAGAACTGCTCGTGCACATGGGTCCTGTTTCTTTACAGAACGACCTCTGACCACACAGGAGTTTAGAAACAGGACATCGCTGCTCTGTCTGCAGGGTGAGCTGAACATGGTATGCACACTAGATGTTTTCCTAAAGATAAAATGAGGCAGAGCTGCAGAAACAAATCTTCAGAGGAGATGGACTGATGTAAAGATGTTTTTCACATCCGGTTCAGGGTCAGGTGACTTTATCTGTACCTGTAGGAAAATTTGTTTTCAGGGAGAGTCACTTAATAAAGCACAGACAAAAAAGAAACATAGAAAGAGTAAATGCACACGGGCAAAAGTGAGTAAGAGCATGAGGTGTGGCGACTCCAACCATACAATTTGATGAACAAGTTGATCTGTAAAAGTTATAGAGTCTAGAGCAGGGATGGGCCACATTCATTTAATTCTAACTGCCAGGGGGGCAAATTGTAGGATACACAAACGATTGCAGTCAATTATGTCTCAAATTAACTCAACATATACCAGTCATCAAATATTATTGTGGACATATTTCTGGTTTTCATGATTTCATGGCAGATTTTGCCATGTTTTCAATTAATTTGACCTGAGGGCCACGTTGAGGGTTGATGGGGGCCGCATGTGGCCCACACCTGGTCTAGAACATTAAAATAAATGAATAATTAAGAAGCCTGACATCAGCTCTCCAGCCTGCTATCTCCGTCCCTCCTTACAAGACCTTCAAGAAATGACCAACAACCACATCCAGCAGAAATAAGAAAACTGAACCTGATACCCACAGATATGCTGCTCTTTAGAGCTGAAAGTCCTCGACCAGAATGGAAGAAGCTGAAACTCAAACTGCAGAGGACTCGTCTTCTAACTCCCCAATTTCCACATCGTCCGCTGCCAGTCTTTTTCTGACGAAGCACGCTGCATGGAATCACCCAGAGCACCCGGTCAATTTCAAAATAAAACACAATATACAGACTCCTGATCATATATAACATCACGTTATCAACATAACATCAAATGTTTTATGTGGAAAGGAGGCATGAGATTAGAGTGCTCTTCATGAACCGTTTGAACTACAATCACTAATCACGTCAAGTGTTGACATTCTTTCCAAACAACATGCGTGCTACTGTTGACATAAGGCAGGCGTTCGTCACAGATCACAATCTGTTTAGAGTTAGAAACGCCCTCCATGCTTTAAGAGGAAGGCTGATGGAGCAGAGTTTCATTGGCTAAAAGAAACGTCAATCATCGGCACAGTCTCGTGCTCAAACTAGGATCAATATTGGAGATGCTTTTGAAAAATGGAGAGAGGTTAGAACGCAGAAAGGTTTACAGACCGATGCAGAGCTGGCTAAACACTGAAGCTTCAGTGTCCACCACATGGCAACCTGCGTGAGCATGGACTCAAGAGAGGAGGGGGCGGGGGGAGACAGATCTCTACAATCTTTAGAATTTAGACTGCAGTACCCGTTTTACACACTAGGGGTCAGAGTTACATACTGCTCCTTTAAATATCACAGAAGCTACATGATTAGTAAATGTAGCAGACGGCCAGTTTGCTTTTATTTTTTAGCGTTTAAAAACCTAAAGACGAGTTTCATTTTGAGTCTGTTGTTGTTGAAATCTTTGGACAGCTTTTCTGAATCTTCTGCAAAACAAAATAATGACATTCAAATGCGGGTTTCTTCCAAACTTGATCCATCTGTAAAATGTCACGGAAGCCTGGAGAGACTGAATGGTTGAACGAGCAGCTGCTGTTTGTTTGTGTTCATCAAGCTTCCAGTGTTTAACAACGGCACGCCGGGACATTTCTAACAGCTGATGTTCCAAAATAAGAAATAACAAAACAGCATGAAGTAAGTCAACACATGACGAGGAGTGCGGAGTGTAAACAAAAAGATTAAAGATGAAGTTTGTCTCTGGTCTGCTTCAGGGAGTGCATCGAGTGTCGGCTCTTCAACTCAGGACGCCTCGCAGACAACCAGACCTGCCAGCGCCTGTGCAAGGACGAAATCATCACAGTGGAGACCCTCAGTGAGTAAACACACACACACACACACACACACACACACACACAGAGCAGCTGGCTGGAAGTACTAACATCTGGGGCATCTGCAACAGTTTGTCGTCTCCCTCACGTTCCTCTTCCTCTGTCACTTCTGATTTGACCTTTCATCTTGTTTCTGTGGAGCAAACGTTTCGTGAAAAGAATAACGTATAAAATAAAGTCTTGACAGCAGAGGCATGCTGGTGAAACGTGTTGTTTCTTTGAGGGTGTTGTTAAATAAAGAGAAGAAGTCGTTCACACGGCGTCCATGTTTGTATAATGATAAAGTATTTTCAAACTGAGAGAGAGAAACGTATCCAATTGGTAAAATGTTCTGATTGGTATCGACTCTGGCTCTGATTGTCCCGATCCGTGCGTGTCTAGAAGTCACAGGTGACCGATGTATCTCGCAGCTGAAACTAAAATAATGTTTCACACAAAGCAGCTAAGTCCACAATCAGACGTTGGAAGTAATCGAGCTGGAGCACCACAGATATATTAGATTATTATTTTTCTGAGTCAAACCTGACGCCCCGACGCACCACCTCAGGGTGCGGTCAGATTCTCATTTCCCTCTCTGAAGTTTCTGAGGTTGATGTTGTCACACGATGAATCAAAGAGTTTAAAACGTGATGAAGTAAACAGAAAGCCTTTGACTGTATGAAACCTCCTCAGTGAGTCTTGTGTCCTCTGTTGTCTCATGAGTCCACTCCTCTGGTTCCAGTTTAATGAGGGTTATAAATCCTTCATTATGGATCATCTCTGTCTTATTAGCACTGTGTTCGGAGCATCAAAGGCTTTCAGGGCTTATTTTTAGCTACAATAGGGCAACTCATGTTGCACGTGCCAACACTTTGGTTTGGACTAAAATATCTCATCAACTATCAGAGGGATTATAATGACAGTTTGTGTAACGTTCGTGTGTTAATGGAGGATGGATCCTCGTGACGAGTCAAAAGTCTTCACAGCTTTGGAGAGATGACATTCACATTCCAATGACAACTGGTAATAACTTTAGTTATCCCTTAACTTTACATTTAGCTCCATTATTGGTTCATAGGAGTCAGTAGAAATGTTTGTAAACACTCAAACATGGCCCCTCCTCCTGGGCTCATCGCTCCCAGAAGCCCCGCCCCCTGCAGGACGTAAAGTAAACTCAGTGTCGGGAACATTTCTACATAAATTATTGATATAAATTCAATTGGAACAAGTGTTTTTTACCTTTCAGATATTTTATAGACCAAACAGCAACTTAATCATTAAAGAAAAAAATGAGCCCAGATCTTCTGTAGTTTAACTTCTCTATGCTGTGGAATGAGAGCTCACCCACAGAGCTGCTCGCTCGGGTCCTGATCTTCATGTTATGAAGTGTCAGGTTGTCTGGACCTCGAACACCTTCACCTCTCACAGCAGGATGCAACGACCAGCTACGCACCCTCATTAGGTTCAAAGAGTTCAAACCATTCAGGGATAAAAAACCTTGTGTGTCTGCGGAATCCTCCCACTAAACAAACATGAACCTGCAGCTCAGAATGTCTCCATTAAGTGTCATTTTAAAAGCAAAGAGCTCGAGTTTAGGATCCACCATCCAAGCTTTTATCGTCCATATTTTCAGCGCCCCTCAGCCTAGAGGGAAACAGTGTGGAGATGTTTGAGGAATGCATTAATAAGAGCGCACGCTCTGATTTATGGTGGTAATGGAGTCTGTGGTGCAGCGTGGTGGTGCACAGAGGAGATGTGCACACTGACAGTTGTGTGTTCAGATATACAGACTATTCTAAGAGCGCTCCATGTCAGCCCAGCATGGCCCCGGCCCAGGTCTGACGTCTTTCATAGCATTCCTGGCGAGTTCAGCCATCTGACTGGCCTTAATGGACTCCACATGTACATTCCAGATGCTTTGTGCATGAAACAGAGGAAGAGGAGGAGGGGCTGCAGAGGGGAGGAGGGGAACGGGACGCCGTGACCTCACCCTCCCTCCTGAGCTTTGAGTTGGTTTGGCTGATGAAGATTGACTGAGACTCTGCATGCCCTTGTAGATCAAGTTGGGATTTCACAGCCAAGACACTCGGACTATGTGACGATGATTCATGACCGATATCTGTTTTTTCCCTCAGAGTGAGACCTCCCTTTTATTTGACCTCATCGTACTCTCTGTATAACTTATAGATAATATCTCCTTAAATACATGTAAAGTAAAACAGGAGACACACAGATACAAATCTCTCTCTTTAAAGGATGCACAGATCTTTGTTAGAGAAGGAGAATAGTTTCTATAGATGAACATATAAAGTCAGAATGCAGGATATTTACTGAGCCAACAGTTTCCTGTTTTATCTGTCCTGTAGTTTTGTGCACCCATAATAATTATAACAAGTTTAGTCTAGGGCTGTCAGCATGAACTAGTTAATCACATTAATCTCATGCTCTTTTGTCTCTTCAGGCTCACCATAGATAGTGGTCCTCAGTGTCTCCCTGTAGTCTCAGTGATGTAAAAGAAGGACACTGCTGCATCTTTGAATGTCTCATTCACTTTAACAAACTCTCAGACGGCTCAGCTGACGAGTCCAAAGTAATATCCACCTTATGACATCACACATTGACCTTTGTTGCCGTTCCTTTGAGCTGTTTGACCTCCGTTTGGGATCCCTAACCACTTCCTGTTTCTGTGCTTAACTTCATGTCCTGGCCTTCACTCTACCAGAAGGGCCTTACTTTATTTCAAAATAAAAGCCTAACAATTTTAAACTTTTTAAGGTTCATGGTTTTGTTTCTCTCTTTATCCCCCCTCTTCAGAAATGGACGAGCCCGGCGCTGTTCTCTGTCTCTTGAAGACGGACAACGATTGTGTCATGAAGTTCACGTATTCTGAGCACGTCAGCGGACAGTCCGTCCTCACAGCGCTCAAAGAGCCAGGTCAGTTCTGCGGTCAACGTCTGAGGCGTCTGGATTTAACACCTGCTGAGAAATGAATGTGTTCATTGTGCAGGAGGACTCCCCTGACATTCTCCTGATCTGGTTGTTCCCTCACAGCAGGAGACTATCCCTGTTAGAAGGAAAGGGGGCGGAGTCTCCTCCCCCCTTATACATCTTTGTACATGACGTAAAAAAAAGAACCATGAGGAAGTGGTTGATAGAGTCCGTCTGTGCACAGGTCTCACTGAAAAGCAAAATGAACGATAACGTCATGAAAACACCAAAACATTGGAGCTTGCTCTGGTTGTTGTTGTTGTTGTTGTTGTTGTTGTTGTTGTTGTGCATTTACAAAATAAAAGCCCTCTATGTCCTACAAAGTCTAAATCCTTTCCCTCTCCTGCATCAGAGTGTGGAGGTGGTCCTGATGCCATGATGGTGCTGCTCGCGGTGGTCGGCAGCATCCTGCTGGTGGGAGTCGTTCTGCTCGCCGTCTGGAAAACGGTCATCACCGTCCACGACCGGCGAGAGTTTGCACGCTTCCAGAGCGCACGATCACGAGCCCGATATGAGATGGTGAGAATGATCCTGATCACCTGGAATCGTTTTTTCTTTTTCTTTTTTTGTTTTTTATTCGGTTTAGGAGGAAAACTGAGGTTTTGTCTCTTTAAACGTCCTGATGTCAGAATGTCTCATGAGTGTAACTTTCTGTTTTTATCACACCTGCAGGCCTCCAACCCGCTGTACAAGCAGCCCGTCTCTACTCACTTTGTGGAAACGGACTTCAGCATGTACGGGAAGTCTTACAACGGAGTGGTCCACTGATCCCTCGGCACGGGGCGGCAGGACCGGTCCAACTGAACAGATCCCTGGAGGACAATAAGGAGGAGGAGGAGGAGGAGGAGGAGGAGGGGGAGGGGGTGGGTGGGCACATGAGGTGGAGGGCGGACTGATCACATACTCATCCCTCTGCTCGGGTCACAGATGATAAAAGGAGAGACTTTGTGGGAGTGGGGAATCTGTGGCCTTTTTTTTTTCACCTTTTTTCTAGAGGACATTCAGGCCGACCACGGAGACGTGACGTGACGTCTCCTTTCAGACGGCGGTGGAGCGACGAAGCGTGAACTCATCACTCGTGTTTAGAGAGAGAGAGAGAGAGAGAGAGAGAGAGAGTAGAGTTAGCGGTGAGTCTGCAGTTACACAAGATAAATAAACTCTCTCATCATAAAACACAGAAACATAACTCCAGCCACATTAAAGCATCACTTCCTGTTTGTACGGCGAAGGCGGGACTTATATTTGTATATTTTTATAAACACTAAAAAATGCCTTTTTTCTTTTTTTAGTATAAACTATGCACCCGACAAACAGAGACTCTGAACATGACTCTCACTCCACGTCAGGTCGGATGATTTCAAGCACATTTCTGTCACGGTTGCTATGACGACGCTGTGGTACTACTAACATTTACTAAGCAATACTCTTCTCACCTTCATTTTGCACAGAGAATATTTAGAGTCAGGTGACGTTAAGATTTACATTTTCTTTCTTGTTTGTATGTCGTCGTTCTGCTCGGCTCTCCTTCAGTCTGACTCGCACGCTGACGATTCTCCCGCCAGCCTCGCGCCCTTCAAAGTAAAAGTCTGGGGTTACTCTGTATTTTGTATTTTTGTAAACAAACGCCATGAGAAGAAGAAGAAGTCCTCCAAGACATCAGATTTTTTTGGACTGTTTTTTTTACAGTGTCTGTGGCAAAGCAGAGGTGAAGCCCCTCCCCCCCTGGGCTCTACGTCCAATCAGAACAAAGAAGCGTGACGTAGCAGAGGCTGCTGGCTCAAACACCCGACATCAATAACACAGATATTTGGCGTTACATCATTTAGCAGCCAATGCTGACTTTATAGCTAGGGCGGTCAAACTATTCCATATTTAATCCCCATTAATCACATTCTTAGTTCATGTTTAAGGCCCCGTGATCACCTGCCGTTTTTTTTTTCCTGAGCGTCTTTTTTTAAAAATTGTTTTCAATGGGTAGAGAGCGTCTGCAGCAGAAAACGGCCGCCTGGAGCAAAAGTGCTGCGCCCAGCATCTTTATCGAGTGCTCTGCAGTTTTTCCTGCGGCGGCTCCGAGCGCTCGAGTTGAAAATCTTTCAACTTTTCAGAAAGGCGCTGTTGACGTCACCGGCGCTCTTTTCAAAATGTAGTTCAAATGCCTACAGATCGTGTCTTGTACCCACATCCTCCTCGCTCCGAGTCTGATCGGGAAATGAACGATCTCAAATATAAAACATGCAGTAAAACGTAACGGAGCAGTGTCGCTCATACAGCGGCCGTTGAGAGTAGAGAGTTTGTTACAGTGACGTCGGGACATCGGTCGGTTGTTGCAGAAGCTTGAAGTTTTTCTTCCCTCGTACAGCGTAACGTCCAAAATAACCAAAATATCGTCTCAGGAAAGATGCGACCAATCAGAGACAAGTGTCTCGTCCTATTGTTTGTTACGGCGCCGCCTCTAGTGTCCGACGCCACATGCAGCACGTTGTGAAGAGATCAGATCTGGTGATCTTCAGGAGAACAAAGTCTCGTCTTTTCAGTTTCTGAGGTCACTTCAGGGTTAAAGTACAAACAAACAAACAAAGGAAAGTGCACGGAAAAGGAAGTCCCGTACCGCTGACAGTCGGTACAATGTGAGCCGTAACCGAGGGGCTCTGAGACCGCCCCCCTGACCTCGTCTGTCGTAGCTCGATGGGTCTCTAGCGTTAAGGACTAAAACGGCGCTCCTATCCTCCTTTCTTGCAGTTCTAAAGGATTTTCTAATCTGCCTTACTGGAGAGGAGGAAGAGGTCACGGCGTCTCTGTTCGATAATCAACACACTCTAACGCTGCACAGTGTTACACCGCCAGCTCGCGAGCCAAAATGTCAACGTAGTAACTTTATACACTAACTTTATACATTCTCTATGAACACTTTGATTGAAATGGACGCTCTATGGTCCAGAGACGGGCGATATTTAAAACCAGCAGCAGCCTCTTTGCCCTCCTCACATTGTTGTTTACTGAGCGCCATAATAGGCACCTTGAAGCGTTCTGGTTCTGATGTCCTTTAGAGTAAATCACCTCGGTCTTCCACTCACACGCAGCACTTTGAGGTTTGGTGGTTTGGTGCTCACTCTCTGACTGGCTGCTACGTTATAAAGAGGCCGAGAGTCCACCCTGCCTGCAGCGGGAGAGAGAGGGTGGAAACTCTGAGAAACCTCAAAGGATAGATTCATAAATCCACCGGCGGCGTTCCCACAGTAAGAGGCGGGGTCTGAGCTGTCACAGGGAGACGTGACAGCGAGAGATGAAGGTGACCCGGAGTCTGTATGTTTCAGAGAGTGTAAATATTCTAACATGGTTTGCACAGTGCCAAATGAAATGTGGAGTGAAATGCTCCCCGCCCATCCACCCACACGGTGTTCAGCTCTGACATCAAATCTTTCCTGTACAGTCGAGAACATTTTCACACCAACGAGGACTCACTCCACGCCATGTTTCTGTCAAACACAGAGCAGCAACAATAAATCAGCTTACGTCAGAAGTCAGAGAGAGTCTGTTTTTATTTGCTCACATGGGAACATATATTTAAAGGAGGGGCATACATCAGAGCTCTGATTTGAAACATAATTCATACAGTGACTCTGCACATCACTTCAAAGTGCTGTGACCACTAACAGACAGGAAGTGTCTTCTGACGCTGTCATTAACACCTCCCTGGTCACGCCCCTCCCACATCCAGTATGATGAACTGAAACTTTGACGGGATGACCCTTTAATTATGTTTTCAGTTTCTTACTTCAAAGAAACTCATGGCTCAGTCGGTTGCAAATGTTTGGAGTTTTAAAAAAAAAACAGTCCAGGTGGGTACATAGGTGAGCGGTCAGCGGTGCAAACAAATCCAAAAGGGGCAAAAACTAGGCAGGCAATGGTTTAAAAAAAAACAACAAAAAAAACAACAACAGAAGACTCATAAAAAGAAAAGGCTGGAATGAGGCGACACACAAAAGCTGGGAGTAAGAGGGAGGACACAGGTGAGCACAACCAGTACCACACATGAGCATCTGGAGCTGTCCTCTGACGAGCTTCTTCCTGCTCGAGGTGAACTCTTCAAACTCCTCACCCGTCCGTCTCCCCCCCCTTTTAGTGGTTTTGAGAGTCCCCTCCCTCCTGACGGGTGGAGTCCTCCTCCAGCACAGAGACCGGCTGACAGGACACCACGGAGGAGCACGGCTTTAATGTGGCTGACTCTCGTTAGCAGAGTCAATGCTCTGATTGGCTGCTGCTGACTTCACACAGCTAGTATGATGAACTAAAAAGAACTCAGATTTTAAAATAACAATGCCACTTTAAATATAAGGACTAAAAGACCACTGCTTTTGAACATAAATATGTTCTAGTTTTATATTTAAAGCTCCACCTGCAGACTGCTCCAGTGAAAGAGATGAGCCGGAGGATCTGAGGGGCCATCCTGGGACTCAGATGTGATCATGGCCGTGCAGTGCTTCATTAACTAATAACAAGAGGGTTAAAAACAATACAAAAACTCACAGGCAGCCAGTGTAAAGTGTGAGCTCTCCTTCTGGTCTTTCTGTATTTTGAATGAAATGCAGCTGATCATCGCCCTCCTGCACAGAGCCCCGAGTTAACAACCTCTTCGGTATCCTGACCTCTGCTTCCCTCTAGTGACAGAAACCTGCAGGCAGCTTTTAGATTTGACTCTCCGAGGATCAGACGAGAAGCGATGTCGAGCTGTAAGAGCAGATGAACGTGGACAAGGAACGTGTTTGTAAATTATTACACATCAGGGCTTCAAGTGTGCAGAAGGAGAGCTTTGTGGACGCCTCACTTTTCACACAGGAATACAAAGAAAGAAAGAAAGGCACACAAAGAAATCAGAGTACGAGGGTTGACGCAGTAGAAGCGTGTGGATGTGTTGTATCTGAAAAACACCCAGAATCTGACAAAGTTAACAACAAAGCTAATCAGACTTCATGTTTTAAAATGCAGGAATTTAGTTAAAACAAGCCGAAACAAATTAGATGTTTTATGAAACAAAATTCTGTTATCATTGCTTAAATTTAGAATGTTTTTACAAGCCTTCTCAGGCCCCTCATGCAGCGGGGCCCCAGAAAGCTTTGCTTCTATATTTAAAGCTTTAGCAGGTCAACCTTCCTCCACTGAAGGATGACGTTGGCGTCTGCTGGTTTGATCTTTGAACACCAGGAGGCGCCAGCTCTTCACCTGACTCCATGATATCAACCAGAACTGCCAAAAGAGTTTTCTGTTTCAGAGCTTTTTCTGAAGACACACAGACATATCTTAAAGTCCAACAGTGAAGCAACATGAAGGATCACCTGGTGCGTACCACTTTTCCTCACAAAGAGAAATCCAGTGAAGACACACACTCCCGCTGCCTCTCTCAAAGGAAACTGTGAAGACTGATAATTTTTCTCCTGCCCATACAGCTAACATGTTTCCCATCCACAGAGTGTTATCTATGACTCACTGTCCCTGTGGACTTGGTTAGGAAAACGGATCAGTGAGCACAAAAGCCGTATATGCAGGAACGAGCGAGGTTACCCAACTCAACTTCAATCAGGAGAAACTTCATTAAGAATCAACAATTATTTATTTAACAAAATAGGAAAAAAATGTGCAAAGTTTTAGACTCCATCATGATGACCTCATGTAGAGAGGCCGGCAGCAGGATAGGATACCCCTCTATGTAGTCTAGACCCTAGTGGTGGTGGTGATACCCCTCTATGTAGTCTAGACCCTAGTGGTGGTGGTGATACCCCTCTATGTAGTCTAGACCCTAGTGGTGGTGGTGATACCCCTCTATGTAGTCTACACC